TTACCAAGGCCTTCTCAAGTCCTTCTCAACTAGGCTGCGGGGCACTAGCTAGAGGGAGGGAAGCGGCCAGGTCTGGATCCAAAGCTGACTCAAAGAGTGGGTGGGCTTCAGGACCCCTTTTATCCCCCAAAGTCCTTGAATTGTTGATTCACGAGCCTGGCAGCTGCTCTTGCCTTGTTAATTTACAAGTCTGGTAGCTTTTGATGGGATTGGGGGGGGGAGGGGATGGGTTTCCATGTGCTGAGGCCCAACTTCCTTTGTCTGGTTCAGGTCACATTTTTTCCTTTGTTTCCTTAAGGACTTGTTTCCTTCTTATCTACCTCCTAGGAAGGATCTTTTGGATAAGATTCCTGGGTTTTGTCCTCTGCTTACGTGCCAGCTTCATCTTTAGTTATGGCAGCTTCAGCCTCTCACAGGTAATTGGCATGGACAGTCTGAAAGGGTTATGCAACTTTTGGTTATTGCAGCTTTAACCCCTTTTTATACATACCAGCATAACTGACTGGAACCACCTCTTCAGGAAGGAGGAGAAACAATGCAAAACAGTGCCACCCCCTCCAGTCCCTTGGAGATGGTCTAGAACAGGGATTCTCAACCCTGGCAGCTTTCAGATGTGTGGACTTCAACTCCCAGAATTCTCCAGCCAGCAAGTCTGGCTGGGGAATTCTGGGAGTTGAAGTCCACACATCTGAAAGCTGCCAGGGTTGAGAAACACTGGTCTAGAAGGATATCATGGTTGATGGTATCAGAAGCTGAGAGATCAAGGAGGACCAGGTGGTTTGCACTTCCCTGATCTGTCTCTCCAAAGATCATCCACAAGCACAACCAATGTATTGTGACCAGGTATCCCAGACTGAACCCTGACTGCCAGCGATCCAGATCATCTGCTTCCTCTAGAGTCCTCTACAGTTATAGGGGTACCACTTTCTCCACAACCTTTCCAAGAAAGGGAAGAGAAGGTTCTCAACAAGACTATAGTTATACAAAACAATCGGACAGAGCAACACCTTCTTGAGGAAGGAGTACATTACAACCTCCTTCAGAAGTGATGAAAACAATGCCAATGAGGCATTGATTACTGCTTGGATCCAATATCATGCCACTTCATGGGGAATTTAACCCGCTGTGAGATACAGGAATCTGAGATGTGGCAGAGCTAACTCTGCAGAGGGCCCTTTCTACTTCCTTGGGACTGACAAACTCAAAATGATCCCAGATTCCTTCACAAGACAAGACCCTGCCCAGCTGAAGTTTAGCTCCTCTCAAGTCAGCAGTTTGGTCCTCCCAATGCTGCAAGAATTCTTTATACAGACCTTTGAGATGGTCTTGGAAACACATCTTTTCCTAAAGAGGAGCGAGTCACTTTAAAAAGTAGCGTTTAGCCAATGCAATCATGGCAGCAAAATATTACTTTTTTGCTGCTTGAATTGCCACTGTATAGGCTCAAGCGTGAGCTTATCCCAGTGTGTGGTCTGACTTGTCTTCCTCCAGCCGTGTGCTAGGCATCTCCTCTGCCACTTCATCTCTTTGAGCCCTTTGGGGCTGCAGCGGATCTGCAAGCAGGGAGAGACCACTCCAGAGCAACCCTGTCCACATCCCAGATGCCCCTTTACTCCAGTAGACAATTAGAGTCTCTGAGAAGGGACGTTTTATCATGTTTGGTGGACGTGCAAGAAAGCTAGAATATTTTGGATCCAAATACATGCACTGATTCAGGGGATCTTAAAGACTGATATACAATTGAAACCAGAAGGTTTTGTTCGGGGACTGACGGACAAACAGCTGGAAAAAAGTCATGGAATTTTGTTTTTGTACAGGATAACTGCAGTGAGATTATTGTATGCGCAAAGATGGAAAGATTCAGCATTACCCACAATGGAGGAATGATTGGGGAAGATGATGGAACTTGAGATGCCCAAATTGACTGTATTGATTAGAGAAAAGACAATATCTACATTTATTGCTGACAAGAAACCCCTTATAGACTTTTTGCGTGAAAACAGACAAAATTGAACTTTTGATGTATGGTTTTGATGATTAGTTAGAATGGATTATAGAAAGAAGAGAGGCATGTTGTAACCATAGAGGAAGAGGTAAACTTATAATTGTATTTATAACTGCTGTAAAGAAAATCAGAAGCTACTTCTGATACAAAATACTTCTTTGTATTTTCTTTCTTTTCTATTTTTCTTCTATTTTTTCTTTCTTTTTTGTACTTTTTACTTCTTCTTTGACCTCTTCCTCTTTTTTTTTTCTTTTTTCTTACTGAATGTTAGTTTGTATTAGTTTTTTATCTTCTTTTTAAAAATCTTGATAAGAGACTCTGCTGAACTGCCCACCTGATCTGCGGAAAACTCCACAAGAACCCTCAGAAAACCCACAGGATCCATCAGGTGCCTGGAGCAGACCAACCTAATAGGTGCTTCCCTTCTGTGGTTGGGGGCTACACCACAGAGCTCCATAACAATGGGGCTTGACACCAAAGCTGTTTGTTTTCACCAGCCAAGAAAGTGATTAAGATTGCAGTCCAACTTATACTCATTACTGGAGTAACCTGGGGATAACATGGAGGCTACTAGTAACCAGAGATTCCTCTATTAGCATTTACAGGTAGTCCTTGTTTAGCGACCACAATTGGGATTAGTAACTCAGTCATTAAGCAAAGCAGTTGCTAAGTGAAACTGCAACTGTGGTTGTGATCTTACTTCAGCTTTCCTTTGCTTTACAGACCTGCAAAGGTCGTAAATGTGAGGATTGGTCATAAAGTTACTTTTTCATCACCATGATAACTGCTAATGGATGCTAAATGAGGCAGTCGCTAAACAAGGACTACCTGTAATTTGGGATCTGGCAGTCATGAATTCAATGCAACCAGCAACTGTGGTTGTGATCTTACTTCATTTTTAGTAATGTTTTTTAAATTTTGATGGTCGTAAATGTGAGGATTGGTCATAAAGTTACTTTTTCATCACCATGATAACTGCTAATGGATGCTAAATGAGGCAGTCGCTAAACAAGGACTACCTGTAATTTGGGATCTGGCAGTCATGAATTCAATGCAACCAGTTTGCCATAAGCGACAGCAGTATTTCATCAAACTCAAGGACTTTCCATGACTTTAGAATGCAGAAAATCCAGCACTGATTTTACTTCCATGCCTGGTATTACAGCAAAGGTCTCAGTCAAGGCTAAGATTTTGCCCCTTAAAAACTGTCCCCAAATCCCCAAAAATGCAAAACAATGACTAGGTCATACATGTTGAAGTTACACAAGAGGTATTAAAGAGCTTCAATTTTGTATCCCTGGTCTTGAGTAATTGGTGCAGAGCCCCTCATGAGGAAACATAAATGTCCTCCAAAAGGTTCAGAGTAGTTCACGTTTGACCATTTTAGGGTGTGGTGACGTTTGTGTGGTTATTCCCAGGGGCTGCTGGTATTTTGAGACTTTCTCTTTCATGTGAAATTTCTCGTGTTTCACTATGTGCGACCGATGAGAAAAGCACTTCCCACACTCCAGGCATTTGTAAGGTTTCTCTCCTGTGTGGACTCTCTTGTGAGCCAAGACGTTTGATCGGTCTGAAAAGCGTTTCCCACACTCGGAACATGTGTAGGGTTTCTCCCCCGTGTGAACCCTTTTGTGCCTGGCGAGGGAGGAGCTGTCCGCAAAACATTTCCCACACTCCAAACACACATAAGGCTTCTCTCCTGTGTGAATGCGCTGATGTTTGACCAGGCCTGACCGCTGAGCAAAAAACTTCCCACACTCCAAGCACGTGTAGGGTTTCTCAGCTGTGTGGATACGACAGTGTTTCACGAGAGACGAGGGACGAGGAAAACATTTGCCACACTCCAGGCACTCATACGGCTGCTCTCCTGTGTGGACCATCCAGTGACTCACAAGGGTTGAGTGCTGGTCAAAACACTCCCCACACTCTGAGCATTTGTACGGGTTCATCCCTCTGTGAATCCTCTGGTGAGCCACGACGTGGGACCTGTCTGCAAAGCACTTCCCACACTGGAGGCACTTGTAGGGTTTCTTTCCAGTGTGAGCTCTCTGGTGCCTCACAAAGGCCGGGTGGTCAGCAAAATGTTCCCCGCACTGCAAGCATTTGTGTTGTTTCTCTTGGAGGTGGACCTTCTGGTGGCTCAAAAGGCCCAACTCATGAGCAAAACACTTCCCACATTCCAGACACACGTGATGCCCATCTGCAACCTGGTCCTGATAGTCCTTGACAAGGACAGAGGACCATGGGAAATGCCTCCCACAGTCTAGGCATTCATATGACTCCTCTCCTGTGTGGATCCTCCAGTGGTCGATGAAGGTGGAAGACTGTTGAGCATGTTCCCCACAGTCCATGCATTCATAAGCTCTCTCTGCCATGTGTGTTCCCTGTGGCATTCCAGGGCCTGGCCAGCAAGCAAAAGTGTTCCCACAGGTCCCACACAGGAAGGACTCCTTTCCCACAAGGATTTTATGGTGCACATCACTGCAGTATGTGTTGTGCAGTGGAGGACACAAACTGTTTTCCACATAGTCATCTGGCGGAATAAAAGACAAGTTCATTGTTAGGCTTAGAATAGCTTAGAAAGGCCATCAGTAACACAAGAACACAGAAAACGTTATAGTCTAGCTCAGTATTTTTCAACCTCGGCAACTTTTAAGATGTGTAGACTTCAACTCCCAGAATTTCCATAGAGGCCTGCTGTCTTCAGCCCCAGATTCTTCATCTTCTTGGACTCTCCTTTTCCTTTTTTAGTAATGTTTTTTAAATTTTGATGTTTTATGTATTTATATATATTTATGGTTTTAATGTTTTGTGTGAGTCACCCAGAGTCCCCAATTGGGGGGAGATGGGCGGGGGAGGAATTTAATAAATAAAATAAATAAATAAATAAAATTTCCCAGCCAGCATGCTGGCCAGGGAATTCTGGGAGTTGAAGTCTACACATCTTAAAAGTTGCCGAGGTTGAAAAATACTGAGCTAGACTATAACGTTTTGATGTTTTATGTATTTATATATATTTATGGTTTTAATGTTTTGTGTGAGTCACCCAGAGTCCCCAATTGGGGGGAGATGGGCGGGGGAGGAATTTAATAAATAAAATAAATAAATAAATAAAATTTCCCAGCCAGCATGCTGGCCAGGGAATTCTGGGAGTTGAAGTCCACACATCTTAAAGTTGCCAAGTTTGAAAAACACTGCCATAAACTCACACTGCTCTCAGTAGAAACTGCTTGCAAATGTACGCAGAGCGAAAACATAATACCTCACTGCAAATCGAGTCCTATTCACTCCTTTTCAAAGGCAAGATGAACTTCATCTTTCAACAGACGCCAGATGCTACTGGATGAGAGGGCAAATAGCTTTAGCCAAGCCTGGGCTGATTTTGCTGACGTTGCATGACAAGATGTGAAAGCCTGTCAATTAATTTAGCTGCATACTTTAATGTATTTTTTATATATTGCATTTATGTCCTATCTTTTCATCCTTGTCAGCTGCCTAGATTCGCATTTCTGAGATGGGAGGCTGTATAAATACATTTAAATAAATAACCAAGCCCGCTTCCACTTAAAAAAGTGTTTTTTCTCCTTTCCTTTGCTGCAAAGTAGCTATTGTGTCTTTAATGTAAAGGGCCAAGGTACCCCCCCCCCAAAAAAAAATCTCAGCTCACAAGAGACAAGGTGTATTCCAGACATTTCTAAGAACAGAATTTATTGGGGAGAATTGTCTGATTACTAAACCGTTACCTGCATTGGTGCTAGAAATCTCTGTATCATCCAATTTGGGGGTTTCTGACAGCCACGGCTCTTCCCCACGTTCTATCTGAGAGATAAGGGCAGGCTTGAAGGCTAGAAAACCTGAAGGCGAGTAGATATGGAAGGATGTGATCAGCAGAGTAATGGTCAGTTTTGAAGCGCAGGAGGAGGCATGCCTGCCCAGGATAGTCAAAAAAGTCAAAATGGTGACTGCTAAAAAGCAGGTGAAGCTTCGATCACACTGTTGCAGCCACCATCTTGACTTTTTTGACCATACCCTGAAGCCACCCCATGCAAGTGCAAAACATGGTGGTATGAAAAAGTACAAGCTCAACATAAATCATAGCACAAATTCCAAGAGATTTGCCATAGTTATAATCCTATGCCCAGTTTCCTAGGAATCAGCTGAAATGCATTTGAATTAGAAATGTAATAGATCTTGCACTCAAGCAACACCACTTCAGCTGAAGGAGGAGACCGATAAAAGAGAAAGCAGCCTCCGCCTTTGCCGGATCCTTTCCTCCTTCCCTGAGTACCTTTCGGATTCGCCTCTCGCTTTAAAGGTTTTGAAAAACTTCGCAATCTTTGTCATGGTAATGGTAGGTGGGAATGATCTTGAGGGACAGGGGAAGAGATGCTCCCTCAGATAAGAGAAGACATAGCCCGCAGCTGCATAACGGGGAGAGAAAGAAACTTAGGAAGGACCTGCCCTAACTACTCAGGTGGTAAATAGGGAGGGCAGGAGATCTGTACTTTCAGACTTGCAAGATTCTGTTAATGCAGCCTAATAATTAAGTAGAATTAGATCATCTGGTCGTGTTTCCTGTCTGGTCTACCTGGGAGGCTGACAGCCACACACTTGATCCTGCATCTCAGCGTAAACCAATGCGTCAGTTCCATGTCTTACCATTGTATTATGTTTATAATCCACCATTTATAACTCTCTGGAAGTTTGAAGGGCTGTAATTTTATCCCCACCACAACGATCCACAATGTACCCCAACAATCCAATGAGTAAGGTGGTACTGACAGAGAGTGGCTCACCCACGTCCCCGTGAGCTCCTTGTCAAGTAGGGACTTGAACCCTGGTCACTCCAGTGTCAATCAACCCATCTCCCACTACGCTATACTTACGCTGACCGTATTTTCTTGGAAAAAAATAAAGGCCAAACCTGAAAAAGGGGCAAATCTGAAAGTGGTCCATAAGGATACAAAACGTTAACTGATTGTTTGTTTGTTTGTTTGTTTATTTGGCTTGTGTGCCACCCATCTCCCCCACGGGTGACTCTGGGCGGCTCACAATAAAAAAGAAAAAACACAATTCTCTCCAAGATGGCTAAAAACTAT